CATAGAAGAGTCAAAGGACATGTCAACTTTGTCGAAGGAAGAGCTTCAAGGGACACTTAAATCTCATGAATAAAGAATGGTTGAGAGAGTTGCAAGCAAGTCAAAAAGTGATGTGGCTTTGCAGGCTCAATCAAAAAAAGATAAGAAAGGTAAAGGAAAACGGTCGACAACAAAGGTAGAGAAGGCTACACCAATTCGATGGTAGAGGAAACCAGCACGAAGAAAACATGTCGAATCAGAGAAGACCATACCAAATCAACCAAAGAGGTGGTGTTGCTAATAGAGGAAGAGGTGGTGGTTGAAAGCCTGGTAAGAGTCACATTCAATATTTCAATTGTCAGAAGTATGGTCATTATTCTAGTGGTTATCCAGAAAAGCGAAAGAATCAAGAAAGTGATGCAAAGTTTACAAAACATGAAGAAGAAGAGATGATGTTGATGGTCACAACAAGAGATGAAAATAGATTCAAGGACCAATGGTACTTAGATTCAAGATGCTCATCACACATGATTGGAGGGAAATATTGGGTTGTCAACATAAAACCCTCGATGAAGAACATGGTGAAATTCGCAAATGACAATACCCTAAAAGCTGAAGGTATTGATGGCAAGAGGTCAGTAACTTCTAATGTGTTGTGCATACTAGGCATGAAGAGAAATATGCTCAGTATAGGGAAGTTGGTCGAAAAGAACTAAAAAGTGTTGATTAAAGACAAGATGATGTGAGTCGTTGACGCAAATGGGAGGTTAATCTTGAAGGCTCCCATGTCTCAAAATAGAATCTTCAAGATTGAACTTAATTTGATGGAGCACAAGTGCCTTTCGACTGTAGCTAGCAGAGATGAATGTATATGGAAATATCGTCTAGGTCATCTCAAATTCAAAGACATCAGAGATCTGAAAAGAAGAAGTATGGTTTCAGGGTTACCAAAAATCGATATTTCATATGAGGTGTGTGAGGAATGTGTGCAGGCGAAGCAACACAAGAACAACTTCATCAAGGATGTTGGAAGCAAGTCGAAGGTTATTGTTGAAATCATATACTCTGATGTATGTGAATCAATCCTGGTGGATTCAAATGGAGGCAACAAATACTTTGTTACATTCATAGATGATTTTAGTTGTAAACTATGGACTTACCTTATCAAGAAGAAAAGTGAAGTGATCGAGGTATTCACCAAGTTTAAGTTTATGGTCGAAAGACAAAGTGGTTGAAAGCTCAAAGTTTTAAGAATTGATGGTGGTGAAGAGTATGTATCGAAATACTTCGAATAATTATGTCAAAAAAAGGAATTATGCATGAGGTGGTGTCATCGTACACTCTACAACACAATGGAACTGTAGAAAGGAAGAATCGAATCATCATGAATATGATGAGAAGTATGTTGAAAGGCAAGAATTTACCTAAAGAGTTTTGGGGTAAATTTGTGTCGACTGTAACATACATATTGAACAGATGTTCGACGAAGAATCTAGAAGGAATTACTCCAAAAGAATGTTTGTCTGGTGTGAAGTCTAGCTTGAGTCATCTGAAGGTATTTGGATATATATAGCACATAGACATGTGCTAGATCAATTGAGAAGAAAACTGGATGACAAGTCGAGTCAGATGATCCTAGTAGGATATCATTAGCCAGAAAGTTACAAGTTGTTAGACCCGTTGAACAAGCAGATTGTGATCAGCAGGGACGTGATCATAGATGAGCTTAAGGAATGGGATTGGATAGAAAATGATAAGAAAGATTCAGTAAGAATATTATTCAAAGAATTAGCAATTGAATTCGAAAGAGAAGTTTGACAAAAGGAAGTTATAGATAAACCAAGACCAAGTAGACCACAGAGAACAAGTCGCATGCCTACAAGGTTCCAAGATTGTGTTATTACATCAGATGATGTGGTTGATAATGAAGGCGAGCTGGTATATTATGTTTTCTATGCAGATTTTGAACCTGTCAATGCAACTGAAGCATTGAAAGATTCGAAGTGGATGAAAGAAATGAATGAAGAAGTGAAGTCCATCGAAGACAACAACATTTGATCACTTGTTGAATTGCTTCAAGGCAAGAAGGTAATTGATGTCAAGTGGGTATACAAGGTGAAGTTTAATCTCAAAGTGGAAGTAACTCGACACAAGGCAAGACTTGTGACAAGGATTTCTACAGAAGGAAGGAATCAACCTTGATGAAGTTTTTGCATATATGGCTAGAATCGAAACAATCAGGTTGATTGTTGGCCTAGCAGAAATGAACAGTTGGCACATATGTCTGATGGACATGAAGTGTGCATTCCTAAATGGACCCTTAGACGAAGAAGTCTATGTTAAACAATCAGTTGAATTTGTGAAGCATGGCGAAGAGAGAAAGGTGTACAGGCTGCATAAAGCTCTGTATGGATTGAAACAAGTGCCAAGAGCTTAGAATAAGAAGATAAATAACTTTCTAAGGGAGAAAGAATTTATGAAGTGTACAACTGAACATGAAGTATATGTAAGAATAAGCAATAGTGAATTGATTATACTATGTCTCTATGTCGATGATTTGTTGATAACAGGTAGCTGCAAAAGTGAGATCGAAGACTTCAAAGGTGATCTCAGCAAGAAATTTGAAATGTCTGATCTGGGTGACATTTCATATTTCTATGGCATCGAATTCTACAAGAGCAGTAGAGGATTAATGATGCGTCAAAGAAGATATGTAAGTGAAATTCTCAAGAGATTTGAGATGGAAGAATGCAACTCTAACTTCGACACCTGTAGAACCAAGACTGCAACCGTTGAAAGATGCAGAAGAAGATAATGTCAACCCAACCCAATACAGAAGACTTATTGGATCATTGAGATACCTTTGTCATATGAGGTCTTACTTAGCATACAATGTAGGTATGATAAGTAGATTCATGTAGAAGACAAAGGTATCACACCTAGCAGCGACGAAGAGGATACTGAGGTATCTGAAAGGAACTCTTAACTATGACATTTTATTTCCTGCAGCTAATAAAGGAAATGAATGCAAGTTAGTTGGATACGCTAATTCAAGTTGGTGTAGTGAGGCCGATGATTGAAAATCCACATCAGAATATGTGTTCATGCTAGGTGGTGCACCAGTTGCTTGGAGTTCGAGAAAAGAACCGGTAGTGACATTAGCATCGTGCGAAGCAGAGTACATAGCAGTTACTCTTTGTGCATGTCAAGCAACATGGATGGTGATCTTGGTTTAAAAAATCACAGGGAAAGATCATAGAGAAATTACCATGAAGATCGACAGCATGTCAGCTACCAATCTGACGAATAGTCCGATAGCACATGGTCGAAACAAAAACATCGAATGAGGTTCCACTATCTTCGAGAGCAGGTAGCAGAAGCGAAGATGGACTTGGAACACTGCGGAACTGAGAATCAGATTGCAGACATCATGACGAAGGGAGTGCAGGTCGAAGTATTCAGAAGACTAAGAGCTATTATGGATATAGATAGTTTAGACACAATGAAATAGGTGGTGTGTTGAAAGTGTAATTCTTTGTGTCAAAAGTAATATGTTGCTCGACGCAAGGTTGTGTCAAATTAGCTTAGTCTTTCGAATTGTTAGACGTGTCAAAGCAGTTGCTACACACATATTTGATTTAGATTTGATTTAGTTCTAAAATAGGTATTTTGAGCTTTTATAGTTTTGGCCTTTTTGGCTTAGGGAGAAAGCAAGCTCAATTATAAATAAAGAGAGTAATCCTATTTTGTAATTAATTCATTCATTCGCAGTATTTGGAGTTGCAAGTGAATAAGAAAGTTTTCCACAGTTTGTAGGCAGAGAAAAACTCTGCAGAAACTCTAAATCTATTTTCTTCTTTAATTTTCTTTTCATTGTCATTGTGTGGTGATAACAATCTTATTCATCAAAATTGATAGAAATTCATTATAAATTTTGATGGATTTTCAACAAAAACTGACTTAAACACAATAAAATGTATTAATATAGATTTCATTTGATTTCATCACTTACTATCAAATTTCTCTATATGATTTGGACGGAATGAAAAAATTTGTTTTATTTTGTTCTAAAATATTTAAATAATATAATGAAATCTTCATTCCACTCTAATCTATTTCGCTCCGTTTCATTCTACTCCATTGATTTCATTACATTCAAACATTGTCCAAGTGTTTGCCGGCACAATCATACAGCTTCCATGTTGTCTGAGGTCCACATCGGATCAAAGACATTATAGAAAATGACATGCAATAAAAAAATGGAGACGGTTGAAATTTACAAAATTTACCAAAGTTAAAGTGTGAGAACGAAATCTATGTACTTAAAGGAAAAAGAAAAAAGCAGGGGAAACAGAGTAAGGGGTGTGTGTACTCTAAGAGCATGAGAGTGAAGGGTTTAATTGAGAGTTCTTTTAGTTTTTCAAAGACCAAAGGCTACAAAAGAATCAAAGACCTAAACATAGTAAAGCTTATGAAAAAATGATCTTCATAGATTCACTTTAATTTTTCTTGCTTTATTTAACCTCTCTTCAAACTACTATTCAAACCCCCACTGTCACAACCTACATACCCCCTCATCACAATCCAAAAAAAAAAAATCACCTTTCTCTACTTTTCTACTCTTTCTAGCCACCTGCATAAAGTAGTGTAAGAGTTGAAAAAAGGGTTGTCTAGTGTGAAGTGAAAAGAGTGATTTTTTTTCTATATTTCAATCAAATGGGCTAATAGTTAGGTATTTGTTTAGCTTAATACTTGCATGGAATATGCAAAGTTTGAATATGTTGAAAAAACATCACTATTATTGGTTTATAGCTTGAAACACTACTTTTCATAGGTTCATAGCTATAGAAAGAAAAAAGTGTGTGTCTGTGTGAGAGTGTGTCAATCATATCATATATCTACAATCATACAAGTGGTGCTTCTATTGAGATTTAGTTTTTCTCTTCTTGTTCATGGAGAGAAAAAGAAAAACATCTAAGCTCTTGAACAAAACAAATCTTTGTTACACTTTCTACTTTTTCATGCTCTCAATTTTCACAACTTCTGCTTCAGCCATTACATGTCTAGGTATGCAATTCTTCCTCATTCTTCAATTTTTTTGTTACTAGAAACTCACACACAGTCGTGAGTATCAGGATTCGAACCCTGGTGACCGTCAATTGAGTTAGGATTTACTGACTCAATCTTGTTTAACCTATAATAATGTTTCAAATCACATAAATTAATTCACAATTTCTAGATCTTTTCTTTTTTGCAGATACTAAGTGTAGCATATTTTTCAAATCTGATATAGATTTTCAGGTATAGCCACTAATCCTATTCTTGTCCATCCTATAAACTAGTACATTCTTTCTTATCTTCATTAGCATCAAAATCAAAATTACCTCAATAATTGTTTTTGGAATATAATTTTGCTACATAGATCTAACTTTAACATTATAGTAGAGTGAATATTTAGATTTTAGACTCTAGACTAAATTTTTTAATTGAAATTTATATATTTTTTAATTAAAATATATAATGGGTTATCTTTCATGATTGTGGTTGTTGAGTTCAACATTCAAGTAAACTGTAAAATGTGAAACTGTTGCATATAAATTGTAACAAGCTTGTCTTCAAAGTTCCACTCTTCACTTTAGTGTTAAACAAAAAATATAAGGACTTTCAAGAAAATATTTGTCTTAGGTTAGACTCTTTAGTCGCAATATATTATAATTTTAATAATTTTAATATATAAAATTGTTACTAGTGATGTAGAGAATTTAGAAAAAAATGATAAGAAAAAAAAACTGAAACTGGCTCATATATGCAACAGAATAGGGTGCAGGGTGTGTCTACGGACCCTCTGCAATGTGGAGTCCACAGCAATTATGCAACACATGTGACTATATAAACTCATCATATTATTTATATAAACTCATCATATTATTTATCGTTGGAGTTGCGTTGGAGTCTCACATTGATTAGAATTTTCGAACTATTCGAACTATGTCAAATATAAATATATTTTGGTAACTTTATATTTTTCATCTAGCTTTTAGAATGAGTTCAAATCTATTTACCATGGTAATTACAAATTATAACGATTTTTTGGACAGCAAGATAAGGTGGAAATTGGACGAGGCATGATGTCTCAAGAAAATTCAAAGAGCTCAATAGATTGGCCAAGAAGGTTTCTAGGCGGGCCGGGGTCATTTCCGCCGCGATGCAACGGCAAGTGTGACAAATGTACACCATGTAGACCGGTCCATGTACCGGTGCCGCCAGGGACACCGGTGACAGCGGAGTACTACCCGGAGGCATGGAGATGCAAGTGTGGCAACAAGTTATACATGCCATGAATATTTAGTTTTCTCTATGTATAATGTTTTTTTTTTCTCTTCAAGTTTATTATAAAGTTGATCACTTCACCTTAGTGAATATATGAAGATTCTTATCCTTTTGATGAGTTGGTTTAGCTTAAGTTTGTGGTAGATATTGAATATGAAAACATAGTACAAAACATGATTTGATATGGAATAGCATATAAAAGGACCTCTATTAGACCTATTGATTATGGGTTTATTGTAAACATATATATGGATTTGACATGGAGCAAAATTATGCTGTTTCATCACTTTTATTGAATGAGATGGAATTTACAAGTTTATTCAACACGCTCATTTGGAAGTCTATTAGAAGCTTCAAAATGTAGCTATTCAAAACCATAGTAAAAATGCATTCATGATGGTGGTAGAAAAAAGCGTAAACAAATAAAAGATAATTAGCGTCGTATAGACTAACTATATAAGGTAATTTTCTTATCTATCTATCTATTTCTGACTAAGATTCAATAAAACGCAAAACTTTAGTTTAAAAATAAAAACACAAAAAGTAAAGGGAGTACAATTTTTAAAGGTTTGTGTTTGGAATATAATGCATAATTCACGTGCACCCTTTTTGTCAAAAGACATGATAGACGATGGAATATTATTAAAATGATTGATATGAATCATGCTTGTTTGATAGTCATTTCATACATTTCAATATAAATAAAAGTTATGATGATACAACTCATGACATTTCAAAAGAGATGGATTCTAGGGTGATACATTGAATTTGTGGTCCACCAAAAGTAGGGGACGATACAAAGATTATTACTTAAAGAAAAACCATGATATTGTCAATATCAAATTCCCCACGGTTGATGACTTAGATGTGATGTATACTTTAAAATGATTTGAATGAAATGGAAATGAGTACTATAGCATAACAAAATGAAATAGACATTTCATTTCATTAATATTTTATGATAAATTCATTTCATTGTTGTTGTGGAGTATGTCTCTAAAAATAAAAATGTCATTCTTGGACTTTTTATACTTGTTGTACTTTTCAATTGTTTGTGGGCTCAAATATAAGAGGATAAAGAGTTATAGAGAAAAGAAAGAAAAGAAAGTTTTGGTTGTTCATATTGAACACTAAAGGGGGAAGAAGTAAATGTTTCTCTAATTTTGAAATAAGATCAAGTTCTTGATTGCTATTAAAATAATTGTTCTCCACTAAAGATGAAGTTCATCTCTTTTTGGGATCTGAATTTCCATATCAATCTTGTTTATATAATTTTTCTGCTCTAGAACCAAACAATGATTAGCCGGTTGTATAAGCGATGCGTTGTGGTGGTTCAAGGTCTCTATGTAGTGGAGAGGAGGGAATCAGTAAGGTTAATACTTTAATGTTCAAGTTAATAAAAGAGTAAGAAGTGAAGTTTAAATGAGGAAGATATTTAATACTTGATAAATAGTGTGATCATTCCTAAAATAGAAGAGTTAGTTAGTTAAATATGGACGATCAGGATATATTTTGCATGTAAGTTCACCTGATTGGTTTAGAGAATGAAATTCACTTAGAATTTGTTTGGTAAGACTAAAAAAAAGAGTTTTTACTTTTTTAGCTTTTCAGCTCATATTAATGAAAAAGTTTTGTTTGATAACTCGATTTTAGCTTTTAGCTTTTAGCTTGTAGCTTTTTTTACTAGCTTTTAGATTTTTTTTCAAAAGTTATTTGAAGTAGCTTTTGAGTTTGTAGCTTCTAACTTATGACTTTTTCTTTTATTTATACCCTTATTATTTTAACAAAAATATATTATTACCCTTATTAAAATGACATTTATGTCATTTTGTATCTATCAGTTAATAAATAGCTAATTTACCAAACACTCATGTTAGCTTATCAGCTATAAGTCATCAGCTATAAGCTACCAGCTACCAACTATAAGCTACCAGCTAGTTTTACCAAACAGAGTCTTATTCCTTGCTTATTATTTTGAGTTTATCTAGTATCGGGCTTCCGGGCTTCTTTAGGCCTTACGAACAACCCAAAACAGTTGCCTCTGAGCCATTACTTTTTCTCTTCGGGACGAGGGTTTGTAATGAGTGATTTTTGTTCGGCCACTAAGTCATAGAGATAGAGGTCCTTGATAAAACGTTGTCGTCCTTAGGAATAAGCGTATTAAATGGTACCCTCGCGTGGTACTACGTGATGTTGGGAATGGATGACATGTATTTCTACTCTAATTAGTAATGATGTTCATCCTCTATTTAGGGTGTTTGATTGTCTTTCGAACCGTTTTGGGTTAATCTCCACTATTGATAGTACGAAGTGATCAGACGATCTTTAGTATTCCAAGAGAGCATATAAGGTTCCCAGAGAGTAATTTTTCCCTTTTAACAGTTATTGACTTTGCATGGGAAAACAATCTTACTCTTTTCATTTCTATCTGAAGGTATTCTTGTGCGAGGGTCTATTTCATATTCATGTCTCCGATTTTTTATTCTACTTTTAAGTTTTAGTACATGAGCCTTATGCTTTTTCCTTTGTTCTACTCGTTCTTCGGGTTTTTAAGATTGCAGTCGTTTGAGCTTGTTCACCATCTTGATTACACATGCATTGATTTCTTAACGTGATTAAATATGGTTATTACATCAATTTTGACCAAGAAGGCCAATAAATACATTTAATGAGTTTTGGTGAATTCTGAAATGTTGGAGGCTTCTTTTATCTTCTCTCATGGCGAAGTTTTTTTCCAAGTGGTTATCAATGTTGGTACATCATTAAGATTGGGGTGTGTTTTTCCCAAATGAGGATCAAAGCATTTGTAGTCAATATGGGGGTGCATAATTTCATTTCATTAGTGCATATTCTCTCTCGTTAGTTTTGAGCATTGGTGCGAATACAAGGGTAGAAGACCAATTGCGACAGTGTTTTTCCATCTCTTCAAAAGGAAAAGTGGTGTTAAGTTTGCAAATGGTTATGTCATGCTTTCTCAGAGACAAATTGTTAAATATTTTGAGAGTTGCTCCGATAGTATGAATCATTTCAAGGATCACTTCTTCTTGGTGGCTCCTCTTAGCAAGGAGGCCCATGTGGAGATTTGTCACCTAGATCCTAGCACCTCCTCTGCTTGTACAAACATATTTCATAAGTACTCGAATCAGAGCCACTTTTTAACTGAAGTTGGGATGTACCGCTACTATAGTAAGACTTGTTTGAGGAAGAATTATACTTGAAAACTTAATTGGTAACCTTCTATCAGGAACTTGGTTATCTTAGAAGAGTCGTTCCATCTGATTTGGCCTTCGAAACCTGGTTGAAGAAGCGCATACAAATTTGTTGGTTGGTGGACACGAAATCCAAAAGGGAAAGGAAGAAAATCTTTGGTGAGTGGCCTTAGGATTCTACCCCCTTATTTCTTTCCTATACGATTCTCTGATGTTCCTCTTGTTTTTGCAGATGCCATGAAGAGTGAAGACGTCATACGTTAAGGAAGGAAATTCATGTTGTCGTTGCTTTAGTCAGATTTTCTAACATGTCTTATGTTGGGGGAGCTTCTACTTTAGAAACACTTGTCGGAACCCCCTCTGGCCCGATCTCCAAATATATCATTCCAACTAACTTCCTCGCGCTAGAGATAAGATCTAGGTTTCTCTTGACCGTATCGTGATAAAAGAAACTTTGCCATCCCATTGTTATGGAAAAGAGAAAAGGTTAGCATCTATTCTTGGGTTGGAAGAGGTTCAACATGAAGGTCCTTTTCATAAATGTCTCCAGTACAGAATTGCAGATGGGCAGTCCCATGTGAAGACGGATCTAAACTTCGTATTTCTAATGCCTCATAGTCTGATGACGGGTAAAAAGTTTCATTCCTCGAAATATGATGAAGATTATTCCTGCTTGTTAGGGATCTCTGACGATGTCCATCAAAGGGAGTTAGCGGAGCTGGTTTATCACGTTCCTTGGGCATCAGTTATTTTGGTCTTAGGGGTCACTGGTTGGAAAAAAGTTTTCTTATATGATCACCTTCGTTAAGAGAGGGAGAAGTTATAAAAAAAGTTTAAGGACCACAGTGTTTAGTGGAATAGGTATCTAAAATAGATCTAGGGTTCTTGGAATTCATTTTTAACCATACCATCAACTTTAGAACATGTTAGGTATCCTGGTTCTCTAGTAAATGAAGGTGAAAAAACCGTTCGAGGAGCGGCTGAGAAGGGTGAGACTTTTGAAGAAGCGAACTAGTCCTTGGAGCTTACTTGAAAAAGGACAGAGGAGTTAGATAAGTCCTTGAAAGAGTCTGAGTAGGGTCAGACGAAAGTTGACACCGGTCATAGTGTAATGTGCAAAGAGAATATTTCACTCTATAAGGAAATGGCCAAGTCTCTGCAAGATGGTTTTTATGTGGTTGGAGATGCCTTTGAGAATTCTCTGAGGCACGTGGAATACTTTTATCCAACTGTGTCTATTTATTGAGATTGGGTTAACTAGCTCATCGAGGATAGGAAAGTCATTTCCTTGAAGAAATATCATTGTATTTTTTTTGTCGGCGTGCTTATACCTGACTTGTGAATGGTTTTGGAATTTTTATCATGTAATATAGGTGTGTAAATATATTTCTACTTTAGTTTATTGTCCATTCAAATTTTATTTTCTTTTAGTGTTGTTTCTATCTATGAGTTCTTATCTCTAAGACTTGGATTTTTTCCTTTGAATTTTTATGCTCAAATTTTATTGGACCTCACTAGGGATCATGCCCTACCAAGGGTCTTCACCCCTTCCTATTCCCACATGTGTAAACCTGGTTTGAGTTTGACACATTGGTTGGCCTACAACGGCCTCTAGAGTGGATATGCTTGCTTTCATTGTGCCTATGTGTTCGCGTTGTGGGTTTTCAGTTGCTTTAGTGATACGCTGCTAGAATTTGTGACAACCCCCCCCCCCCCCCCCCCCCCCCAAGTATTTACGACGGGACTTCAATCACTTTAGTCGTACCCCAGACTCATTGTTACCTTTCATGATCACAAAGGAAAATAATATTTAGTGAAATATTTCTTTGTTTACTTCAATGATTGTAATACATTAGGCACATTAAACTTTTATTTACAATAAAGGAAATATGAAATTAACATAACAAGTTGGTTGTGCCACCTCTTGTTTTCCATGGGGTCTGCGGTCATTGTTCTTTGTCTTCCCTAGATCAACCAGTTCTACTTGTTAGGCCAGATTGATGTGTTTTCTTGTCGGAGGGTGAATAACCATGTCCTTTAGTTGCCTGATTAGTGAGGCCACATTGATTATTATGGATCTAACTTTGTCTTCTTTCTGATCTTTTTATAATTCCTAGTCAATTTTCTTTGCTCTGAACAAGACATTAATGATTGTAATTGGCTCATCGTTCATGTTATTGTATCTCAACTTGAGATGAATTAGGGAAGCTACTTCATCTAGTTTTACAAAGGACCTCCTTAGGATTCAGTTATAAACACTTCTGCAGGGGACGAATAGGAACTACGAGTAGATAGTCCAGACGTTTCTTCCTTCCCCTAAGGTTACCATCAACTCTACGTACCCCCATGTGTGGGTTATTATGTTGTTGAAAGCCTGAAGGTCTGACCCTTCGTAGGTCCACCATTTTTCTTTCTTCAAGCCCATTTTTCAAAGATATTTGAATACATGATGTTATAATAGTTGCCATCGTTGATCATTATTCGGTAAACATCAAAGTTGGTGATGGTTGCTGTGAACTAGGGGAAAGTTATTTTGGATCCCTTGGACTTTCATGTTATCTTGGAACCCGAGAAATGGACTTTCATGGTTCATGATTGACATGTTTCCATTGTCCTTGTTGATGGCTATCAGCTCAAAAAAACATCTCTTTACTGTACTCTTTGATGGGTTGCTCGTTCGAGTGGGCGCCCTTGGTTAGGGAGGTGAAATACTAGCTTTTCCTCTTATGTGTTTCTTTTTCCCCGTTGTTCACTTATTTAAATTTACTTCTAGTCATGGATTCCACGGTATTTTGGGGGGATTATTTATTTTTGGGATAATCCTCTTGATCCCTCTTACTATCCTTTGTGAATTCAAAAAGTCGTCCCTTCTTGATCAATCCATTAATCACATCTTTCAACTGGATACAATCATTAATGTTGTGTTCATGGCTCTTATGGAAATGGAACTATTTAGACTTATCGGTTCGAGCAGATTCTTTAATCGAATAAGGATTTCTTATCCTAGCCTCCTTGAATTCCATGTTAGCTCACTTCGTCGAATCCTCTTTCACAAGTTATTCGGGGGAATGTAGGAGTCAAATTTCAAATGGGGTCATTTGTGTTACTCTGTGGTTTGTCTGGAGTCTTTTCCTGACTTTTAACTAGGTCTTGAGTTCTTCAATCCCTAGTTACCTCCATCAACCAACTGCTTCTTCTCATAGTTAATATAGGATTGTGCCCTAATCATAAAGTCCTTTAGAGTATGGGCTTCCTTACGCCCTAACTTTTTTCTGGAATGTACAATCTGGACTGAGTTTGTTCTCAAAGATCAAGCACTTGAGGCTCTCATATGAGCCTCAAGTATTTCACATTATGGCCCTCCATCAACCGACAACTTATTCTCGTAGTTAATGTAGGATTGTTCCCTAATTAGAAAGTACTTCATATTATAGGGAGCTTTATGCCCTAACTTTTTCTAGAGTGTAAAATATGGTTTGAATTCCTTCTCAAAGATCCAAAACTTGAGGCTTTTATCTGAGCCTCCAACGGCTACCACCATCTTTGTGAAGTGGTCGATATATGCGCCCAAGGTTTCTTTTAGCCTTGAGTAACTCCACTAAGCGCGACCATAGTGATTGGTTGTCTTTTCCTGAAGGTGAAATTATAATTAAAGTCTCGCATAGATCACACTAGGAAGTTATGCTTTCATACAGAATGGACTTAAACCAGGCTTTAGTAGACTCGGTCAAGTTGAGTGCGAAGAGCTTGCACTTCACATCTCTATTAGCATGGTAGTAGTCTAATTAGTTATCCATATGTTTGACGTGCTCGTCAAGGTCTTCATTTTCGTTATAACTTTGGAATTTTAAGGGTTTCTTCAAAGACTTTGGAATTTTGTCGTCCAATATGTGAGTCGTCAGTAGATTATTTTTCCTTGGCTAAGTAGGGGCCTCTCCTTCCTTTCTCTTCTCATCGATCTACGAGTTTCGTAGGGGAGTGGGGTTTCCCCTTCGTCCTTCAGAACCTAGGGAAGGAGTACAACTTTTGTGTTGTCGGTGGTTCGGAGATTTCTGGACCACTTCTAGATCTTTTCTTGATTCATTAACCTTATGTAAAGCCACCTTCTGCACAATGTTGTTCTTCAGGATAATATTCTACATGCTCTCTTTGATTCGAGTAAGTCTGTCTGCAAAAAGATGAGACTTTTGTTGTTGAATCATATGGTACATGTTGTTCAACAACTCGTTAACTCCTTGCGGACTTAGGATAACCTATGTGATTTGGAAACTGAAGAGCACCCCATGTTTGGCTATAATAGGAAATAATGTAGGCTTAAAGAAGAGTTTGCATATCTGGAATTATGAGGCAGATTCAACGAATTGAGGAAACTGAGAAGTTCTTTGATCTACTCCTGACTAAGAAATATTTGGCGGTAGAGGAATGGATGGATTAGCTATTGTGACTTGATTTTCCTTCCCTTAAGAAAAAGGTTGACACGCCATAAGTATGCAGCAATATCGAAGTAGTAAAACGGTTATCGAAATACATAGGCCAATTATTTGATTACTAAATTCTACCATATCATTATTTAGCTAAAATGATCAAAGATTGGTTTGAGTTTAAACAAATTAATTTTACCGAATAAAAATTATAATAAAAAGCAGGGCCTATGGTACACGGTTCTTGTCTAAGCATACTCATATGAACCTCTGGTTCTATTACGAGAAATAAATTAATATTATAGAAAATAGAGAAAATTTGACAACACTTACTTTCGTCAGCGTGTTGTCGTGTCTCAGACAAATTATTTATCCACTTTCGTCAGCCTAAATTATTTGTTGAGATTAATTTTGTTCAACTATAAAAATGGAGCTTTCATGACTGAGTCTGAGACACGTCATATCGTACTCATTTGTTTAGAATTCTGTTATCGGGTACCGAAACACACTCTTTCAACTTATGATTGGTACCTGAAATACTTTTACTTTCGTAATCGACATTTGAGTTAAAATCTTAAAATTCTAAAATAGTTGTTGATTTTGATTCTCTTAATAAAATGGTAGATATTTCACTCGAGGTCTATCATGAGACAATCTCGTAACTCTTAGTCCTTAGGAAACTACTCACACATGCTTATCAAGAAAACAATTAAAGTAATTCCATACATAATAACATGAAATAATAACAAATAATAATATAATAAGTACCTAAATAATAAGAAAGGAATGCTTGAATAAGATAAAGCTTTAATGAATTGCTTGAGTATAATGCTTGATGAAAGAAAAATTGCAAAGAAAATAAACTAAGTAAAGTAAAGTTAGGGTATAAAGTGTGTCTTTTTTTATGATTCCTATGCCTTTATAAGATTTTTATCATGAATGTCAACTTAATTTCGCATAATAATCAACCAAGAAACGTTGCTTCAAGCCTTAGGACAGTTGGGAAGTAAAAAAGATGGAAAAATGTTATGAAATTGCAAAAGTATGTAATTGGAGTTGAGGCCAACATGATTCATGTTAATGGATACGGGGGTAGTGTTGTGCAACACTTCCTGCGTTAAATAACACTACTGGGTGATGTTGTCTAAAATTTCTAATTGGAAAAGACTGGTGGTAAACATAGATGGTATTGATGGACATAGCCCACCCGTGTTAGTTGTTGGAAATTTGTACTGGATAATTTTATATATATATATATATATATATATATATATATATATATATATATATATATATATATATATATATATATATATATATATATATATATATATATATATATATATATATATATATATATATATTCATTGATGCCTTGTTAAGAAGC